CTAAAACTTAGAATTAGTGTACGATATTCACTTTAAACTTAGAATTAGCGTACGATACTCACTAAAACTTAGAATTAGCGTACGATATTCACTAAAATTTACTATTAGCGTACGACAAATATTATAGGACCCGAGTGTGCCCAGAACACAACTAAATTTATCGTGATAATTTTTAATATTGATAAAATACCATACTGAAAAAAATATATATATAATTATCGCGTGTGATTATCACCAAATAATGAACCTTTGATGATAACCTGATTGTATGATAATGGCTTAATTACCAGAATATGACTTGCCTGGCAAAGGCCTGGAGCTACGGTCCAATTACCTGGGTTTTCCTTTTATGTAGACAACGGTTAAATATACTTATTAATAATACTACTACTAATTATTTTTATTAATAGCAAACCTTTATTTAATTATTTTTCATATAATATTGTCATTGTTATTATTATATATTTATTTTATTATAGTTATTCTTAATATTTTATTATAGTTATTCTTAATATTTTATTATTATTATTTAATAAATTATTATTATTATTATAATTTAATGAATATTTTATTAATATTATTTAATCAATAAAATAATATTAAGTTGGGAGTTGTGTAAAACCCTGGTTTGTGCCTCGGAGAGGCTGCAGGATCCAGTAAGTTCAGTAGAACTTCGGTTTCAACTCTTTTGACCATGTCGTAGCTCAGTCGATTAAGGCAGCGTCTGGGATGCTCCCGGACGTAGGTTCGAATCCTCGTCACGGCCCTTCTGGATTTGTTCATTTGATTATTATTATTTAATCAATATTTGATATTATTTCACGAATATCTAAATATCTCAATATATAAGAAATAGGTTAATCATCAAAGTATCACACTTAGGGTAGAAACTTCGCTCCTAAACTAAAAATACATAGGATTCTTTCACCACGATGCCAATAGTTAAAAAAATATGTTACATGATATAAAGAGCTAAGGAATCGAGCTTGGACTTTTAGATTTACAAGTGGAATGTTATTAATTCGATAACAGCTTGAAAAATACACTATGATATGAACAAATCCACAAGGGCCGTGACGAGGGTTCGAATCTACGTCCGAAATGTAGAAATGATTTGTTCATTTGATGCATCACGCTATTGTGATTTCTATACTATGATATACTTCGCTAATTATCATGGCTGATACAATAACCAATGCAAAAATGCAACAAGCACGATGAATATTCTGATGTTAACAAAAAAACAAGTGAAGTAAACATGAAATTGGCTTAGTGTTCACAGTATATTCAAGCATGGATAGCGTTGTCCGTAGAGTTTCACACGGGCTACTAAACCTAAGATCTCACGAAACCTACATCTATGGACAGCACAAAACGTCCACTAGACTGTGCGACACAGTGGTTGCAAGGATCATGTTGGGTTACCGTTACCTGTGGCAGGTGGCTGCAGGTGACGGATCTCCCAACCCTGAGCACTCCAGTTGCAAACTCTGTGAGCAGGAACTACGGCACGATCTCCCACACTACATCACCGAATGCCCAGTTATTAGACCTTTCAGACCAGTTGGCATGAGGTACCTGGAGCTTTGCAATTACTTTATTCACTCTCGTATTCTTGAAGATATCCTCACAGTATACCCAAAATTTGCCAGTGCAGGCTACTAAACACATGGCTCTGTATGACTAACCATCCTGCGAGATGGGGACTTGTATTACCACTGCTACCTTATTCAATCTTGTGTTGTTGATATCCTCAAAATGCATCCGGAGTCTGCCAGTGCAGACCGCTTATCACATGCCTCTGTGTGACTAACCATCCTGTGTGATGGGGATTTCTTAGCATCACCTAGTTAGCTTTTTTGCCACACTGTACTCCACTTCATATAGTCTATGGTAGCTGCACTAATGCACATGTACCTCATGTACTAATAAAAAAGAAAAGTTAGTGTCAGTATCTGGCCCCTGCTCTCAACTTCACATCGTTGATAGGTGCCATGACATTACATACATGAACAGGTGATTTGGGTCACGATTGCAATGTTTAGAACAGGAAAAAAATCGCTAGACCATAACGCTAAAATAGCATGAAGCCACTATACAAGTATAGTTATCAATCACGCTACAATCAAACGAGTGTAGAGCACATAGATTATACACAAGCGGACCTATCTAAATAAATTTGGACTATAAATTTAGGTCTTCACTGAGACTCCCATTCATTAGACTCATCAGTAGTACTTGCTTAAGAGCTCTATATGTACTATATGTACTTAAGAGCTCTATATGTACTTAAGAGCACTATATGTACTATATGTACTTAAGAGCTCTATATGTACTTTATTTGTTTCTTTATCCTGGTGATATTCCTCCCGCCGCGTGAGGCCACATCTCTACGTCAAATCCCATTCAATAACACATATTTACACTGGGATTCAGCGGTGTTTAGTGATGGTTACCTTTGAAGCCCCCATTAAAGCACAGCTGAAACACACACACTACA